CTAGTTCTACTCGTTTATATAATTTGTTGACTTCTTGTTTAATCTATAAATAATTTATTAGTTATTAATTTTTTGGAATAAAAAATAATTATTTTATATATTATTATATATTATATTATTCATATAATACTTACTTTTTTTCCAACAGAAAAAACTTCTTCATAATCTAATAAATTTGTATTTATCATTATAGAATCAGTATCTCCATATATAACTTCATAATTTAATTTTTCAACAAGACTTTTTGTATGCTGTAAAATTTCTCGACCTTTTGCTGTATTAATTAAACGTATTTAATATTTTATATATAAATTTTCAAATAAAATTATATTTTAATTCATACTTTACCTGTAACCATGGCAGCAAGTCCTTTTGCATAAAATCTACAATGAGTTGCACCTAAACAACCATACATAGAATTTGCTGTAAGTTTTAAAGCCAATTGTCTAATATTATATTGCATCTTTAATTCAGGTGAAATATTTGTTGCTTTCATTAATTTCTTTACTTCTCCTCTGCTTTCGACTAATTTGCGAATTTCCGTTGGAATTACTCCAGATTCTAAATTTGACTCAGGAATTGATAAATTCTGTAATGAATGAAGTGAAGCTCAAATTGATTGTTTTTAATTCATAATAATAAATAAATTTACCCCATAATCAGCATATGCAGCTCCAGGAACAGTAGTAAAACATAAATTATATTCTTGAATTATACTAGGATATAAAGAATTAAAATCCATTAATAAAATAAGTTTATCATAAAATCCCTTTTTTGGTTCAAGAACTAAACCACCAGTATAAGCTGCTTTTTTTCTAGTAATATTTTCTACATATAGAATAATAATGATTATAAATAAATTACAAATATATTAGAAAATAATAAATATTTAAAAAAATATATATATATATACCTTCATTATCTTTTCCTTTTTTCATAATGCGTTTATCAGGTGTTATATAATGTTTCAGATGAAATGCATGTAATAATAAATATTCATTTCTTTCTGCACGGCCTGCTGTTAATGTTCTTGATATAACATTTCCTATATAAATGAAATAAATATATATTAAGTAAAAAAATTATTATTTTTAATATTTATATACACATACCAGCAATACATGTAATTTGTAAAGCAAGTGGAAGGATATTGAGATCAAAAACAATAGATAAAATATACAATGCTTCTGTCAATGTTATTTTAATTAAATTATCTATTTTGTTTGAAGTATCATAAAATGCAGCACATTCACCGGGTTTTATTTCTTTGCATTCATTTTCCTTTTTCTTCAATACCTATTAAAATAATTGTAATTTAGCTTTTTAAATATTAGAAAATTTCATAAATTAATTTCAAATATTTACCGTTGTACAAAGAGATTGCAAATCATAACTTCTAACTTTGAGGTTTAATTCTTTAGCTGATACTTGTATATCACAAATGGGTCGACCAGCTAATACTTGATTTAAATTTATTTTTCCCTAAAATATATTTCTTTAATTTTTGTTTTATAATACATATTTTGCTTATATAATATAAATACATATTATATATATTATATATATAATATATATAATAATATATAGTATATACATATATATTATACTCTTATCAAAGGAGGTGTTGAACGTCTTAGTCTTCCAAGTCTACTCCAATTTGAAACTTTTAATGTAATCATTCTATGCATTAAAATATCAAATTGAAAACCACAATCATATCCAATTAATAAATCTGGATCTGCATTATTTATTATTTTTAATAATTCTTCAAGTAAATCTGTTTCTGTTTCAAATTTCATTACTTTGGTATATGAAATATTAGAAAGCATTTCTCGTGCTTGTTTTGGCCAAGGTATATCATGTGGATGTGTAATTACTATATAAAATAATGTCAAAATGAATCATATTAAAAAGTTATAAGTATATAGAATATTCAATTCAAAAAAATCAACATACAACAAAAATGTTGCTGAAATGGTGGTTTTGGTGGTTCTTTATCAATATGATACTTATGATGTATAAGTATTGCAACCATGACTATTTCATTTTGTTGTAATTTAACATTTAGAGATGTTCTTATATTTAAAGTTGTTATTACTAATGGTGGTAATGTTTGAAATTCAGAGAAAACGGATATATTTTCCATCTTCATGCAATTTACCTATTTATATAGATTATTAATGTTTTAATGTTTATTAATAATAATAATAAATTTCAATGAATAAAATTATTATACCTTTATTTTGCACCAACTAGTTTGTATATTATTAGGTAATGGACATTTAATTTCTAGCCAACATGGTCCTTTAATATTTCTTTCTATTAAAAGTAATTCTAAAGCATTTACAGTTGTTCCAAAAACACGCTCAATTGATGGTCCAGAATAATCAGAAGGCATAGGTGGATAATGCGCCGCATATCTTACTTCCAAATAATCAGATATTGCTGGAGTACCTTCTTGCTCAAAAGCATAATGTTTTGAGACTTTGCTGCTTCGAAATTCTTTTATTCCTAATTTATTTGCAAATTGATTAAATTCCTTATATACGTCTTCTATTGTATTTAATTGTTCTTCTTCATTATTATCTTTAAAAGATGCTTTTATCTAAAAATTATTTAATTAATTTAATAAATTAAAATAATAAATAATATATGTAAATGATAAAAGACTATATACAAAATATTAGAACAAAGATAATTTTAGAAACTAAAATAAATAGAAAAATTGATATGCAAAAATATTAGTTGAAACTATTTGTTAATTATTAAATGAAGTGAAGAACAAATCACAAAATAAATGAAATGAATGTGACACTCATAATTTAAATTGTTTATAATGTAATAAAATATTTTTATGTACCAATGTGTTTTATATTTATTTTGATTTTTGCAATTTATTCTTCAATCTCATGAATTAATATTATATATATACATTAAAAAATATACATACATATACTCTAGGGAGAAGATAAATTCTTCGTGGAATATTCTTTACTGTTAAACAGCAGGAGCAATATTCTTTTATAGATGGTACAAAAACTTTTCCCAATAAATATACAACTCCAGGTTGTTTGTATGGATCTTCATATGCATCCCACCAATAAAATCTAAATACTTCTTCTTTATTTGCATTAGTTAAAAGTGGTAAAGGCAGTTCTGTAATATTAGTATTAGTAGCTATTTCGATATTTGATATTTGTGTTGTAAATTCAACATCTAATATTTTATCAAAATTTTTTTCTTCAATATTTTTATTTTTTGTTTGAATATTTAATTTATGTTTTTTATTTTCTGTGTTGGTAGATGATATTGATTTTTCATTGTAATCAATATTGTCATTTGTAAAATCTGTACAGAACTGTAATAAATGAAATATATTTTAAACATTATTTTAAAATATTATTAAATAAAAAGACTTACATCTCCAATGAATTGGCTAAGATCTTCACTTTCTGTTTCAATTATTTGACTATTACTTGAGTTTTTAATATCTTGTTTTAAATGTATATCTAATGTTGTATTTGAAGCACTTGTGATTTCATCGTCTATAATTATTTGACTATTACTTTGATCTGAAATAATATTTTCCATTTGACAATTTAATTTCATTTGCTGTAAATTTACATTTTTTGATTTGTCAAAAATAATTAAATCATTATTATCATCAGATTGTATTTGTTCACATTCAGAAATTGATTGTAACTTTGTTTTGATATGAATATTTCTAAAATTATAATTTATTAATATAATATAATATTAATTATATGTAAATATATATATATTAAAAATAATATAAAAAATATTACTTTTCATTTAATTTAGATGCAGTACAAAATTTATTTCTAACAGTTTTTAATTTTGACATTTCTGGACTATTATTTTTTTTCAACTCAGACATTAAATCTCCTAAAATATTATCATCATCCAATTTAGCATCACATTTCTTTTTAGAAGACATATTCATTAACATATTTTGAATATTTCCTTTCATTTTAATATTATCTTTCTTGTTTTTTTTAGGACCTGTGATTTTATGCTTTTTTGCTTCTTGTATACTTTCATCATCCAAATCATCATCAAAAATTTCTCTACCATCTTCAATATAACCACTTTCTCCTTTTGTAACAAATAAATAATTCATAATATGCTTTTCCTTTTATTTTTAATAAGAATAAAAAGTTAATATGCTATATTTATCATTGTAGATATATAAAGTTATTACCATCATCAATAATCCAATTATCACTTTGTCTTTCTATTACAGTTTTAGTATATTCTTTTTCATCAACTTCTTCATAAACATTTTCTAATTTATCAATTTCATATTTATTTTTACTACCTTTTAATTGTTTTAACTTTTCTAAAGCTGACAATCTTCCAGTTTTATCAATCTTTTGACGTTTAGTTCTACCTGCTATTTATAATTTATAATTATTATAACATATACTATAATGTAAATATATATATATTATATTTATTAAAATATAAATATTTTAATAAAATATATATTATATAAATATATTGCAAAATTTAATAATAATTTAATAAAATTTCAAATTTTATGTCAAAAATAAAAATCTTGAAATATTTAATCATAATATTTATAAAATTCTCTTAAAACAATAAAATATTAAATAAAACAATAAATGAAAAATTAAATTAAAAATTTTTAACAACTTTAAAATTGTTACTAAAAATCTTATACAATATTTAAGTACAATAATAAATATAATAAATGTATATAATTTAATTTATAATTTAGATAAGTAAATTTTAAAACAATAAATTTTATTAATTTTATAAATTTTCTAAAAACTTACATTGGGTGTCACTCATATTTTCCAATAAATTATTCTAATATAGATTATTAAATTAAAATATCATAAAATATTAAAAATAATATCTTCAAAAAATAAAATGAAAAAATTAATAAGAAGAAAGAAATTGATAACACTGGTTAAGGTTTTAATGGCAGATATATTTATTTCGGCGGGAATTAGAATCGATATATTTCTATATCGATTTATCTCGATATTATAATCTCGACTTTAGCAGATGAGTATAACATACATTGTCAACTTCGTGCGAAAGATTTGTGTTCAACGATCGAAAAGTTACAGAAAGGTAATTATTCAAACTTTAAGTATTTTACGCATATATAATATTTTATTATAATATGTACTATTAATGATTTGATTTACAATATTCATTTGTTTTTATTTTATTAATGCTACGTAAAATTTAATCACATATTTTTTTTATGTCGTCATTATATTTTTTCATTCTAGAGTAAAATTACTAAATACATATAATTTATTAAAATATTTATCGGATTATTTTATAACTATTTTCTTAATAATTAATAAAAATAAAAATAATTCTTATTTCTTAATTTTTTAAAATATAAATTTATTATATTTAATAAATAATAGTACTTTTCTACTTATATTAAATTTTATTTTTAATTTAGTTTTTAAGATAAAAATACTAAATTTATTGTTTTATTTATATATATTATTTTAAATAATAATTTTTATATAATTTAATATATAACAATTTCAATAAAAAATATAAAGAGATACAGTTATAAATTTTGTTTTTAATTATTTTAGTTATAATGTCAAAAGCACATAGTCCTACTGTTTTCAATGGGGAAGCTGACAATTTTTATGACCCAAATTTTACTTTGGATATTAATAAAAGAATGCGTGTACCAAAAAGTATTCGTGTGAGCGGCGATTACACAGATGAAGAAATAAATGGTACAAATGGTTCTAATTGGAATCAGATAGTTGCAGGAGAAAAATTTGAAATGCATGTTCCAGATAGAATTTTAGTTGTTGGTAAATATTTAATGTTCGTTAATGTTTATTTAATGTTTTACACATATATATTTATAAATATATTTATATATTAATTTTTATAATTAAATTATT